TTTCACTAACTGTTGATTTGGTCACATCCGTATGGCCATACATAAGTGAAGTCCTATCTTTGCATTGAACTACTGAAGTTAGATGGTTATTTAGATTGTTTAAATTGATTGTATTTTTATCAAGGGTTTGATTTTTATCTTTAGTATTGAAACACATTTTCTTAGTATACTTCCAACCATTTTTGGGGTTTTCGCTTTGGAATGCTTCTGTTCCATTGTCTATTTCAAACTTCTTTATGAGGCTTCTGATCTGTTTTTTAATATCTTAAAGTTTTTTTCTTTTTTAGCTGTAAAGTCTATTTATTTCCCCCTTTTTTTAGCTGAATAATCTCTTCTTTTTACCATAACTTTTATTTTTTCATCAATCCATTAAGGTCTAGTTGTTCGACATGGAAGATTTTTAACTGGTGCAAATTCATCTATTATTATTCTGATTGCATTATACCAAGTACTTACTAGTTCTTTGTTGTCATTGATGGTTCAATTTTAAATAATTCAATTCTCTTATTGAAGTTAACATTTTTAAATGATCTTTTAGATACAGGTTTCAGTTTATTTATAATTCAATCTGTTTTTATCAATACTGATACAGGAAAATGATCACTGGTAGAGTTATTATTTACTTTTGTAATTAAGGCATACTAGATTATGATCTATGACAATTATATCAAGGCATGTGGAACAGGTATTTGATATTCTGGTGGGTTTAATATTCTGAATCCTCACTTCAGCCAAGTTAAGTGAACATAATAGTGAACATAATACCTGGATTATACTTGCTTTAATGAGATCTGCATTAAGGTCACCCATTAGAATTAGATGGTTTTCATTAGAGATTTCTTTTGTAAATTTATTAAAATTTAGCCACCATTTTTCGCTTGAAGAACCCGGTAGACACTTCAGCGCTTTGACATGATCAGTTCTAATATTATAAATTCAATATTTAACATAAGATAATTGTCATCAAATTTATAAATTTTTTTAAATTTGATTAATTTCTTATCATAATTAATAAGTCCTTCACCATTACATGTTGTCTTTTCTAATAGCTACATATCCTGGAGTATCTATTGCAGTTGTAATAACATTAGAGTCTATTTTGGTTTCTACAATATTGATTATGTCATATTCTTTAACATACTCATTGACCTTAAGCCAATGTGCCCGAAGCCCAGTTATATTCCATGTTGTTATTCAAAGTGATTCTATGGTCTTTTTATGTTTTAGTCTTTTACTTTGTCTTGGGAGTTGCTAATCTAGATCCTCTGTATTGTTAGCAAGATTATAGATTTTTGGTCTTACAGAAGTAGGGTTATAAATTTCTCTAATCTTTTTTTGTGTATTTGAGAAAATGTGTTTTTTATCTGTATCTGTTTTATTTTTATTTTCAATATAATTGGACATTGGTTGACTATTTTCTTTTTCTGCTCTGCTAAATTTATATCAATATTGGTGTCCTCAATATGTTTATTATTTTCATTCTCTGAGGTTTTATCAATATTTGTAAAGATTTTACTTATCCTGTTTGGTTTAATTTTTGATTTTTCTTTATTTTCTTCAATAGTTTTTGTATCGTTTGTATTAGTATTATAAACTGTTCTTATATCTTTTCAAGCAGCAGTATGTTATGGTGATCACCTTGATTTCCTTTGATGATTTTTCCTTTTTTTATTTTGTAATTGTCTTTACCCAATATGATAAGCTCAGCTCTCAATTTTTTACAGACTTCTATTTGTTATTTAGTCAAATCTGGTCTTAAGTAAACTGTTGGTCCCTCGTATTCATTTTCTGTATTTCTAGGGTTTTTCTATATTTGTAGTAATTTTCTTCTTGTTTCTTTATCCTTAGTTTTAATACACCAAAGTCTGGTTATAGTGCCGTAAGGTTTTCCAAGTCACTGACAGTAAATTATGTTTTAATAATAGGCTGGCTTATTTTATTATTTCTGTTTATGTAAATAATAATACTATCGACATCATTACTTTTTTCAAGTAGCCTTTTAACTATTGCAAATTGGAGTTGGTCTTTCATAATCCAACATAAAATCCACATTATATTTTATAAACTCTAATAATTGTTGACTGAGTATTTAAGTTTATTTTTTAAATGGTAAGGGGGCATGGATGACTAAATATAAAAGTTTAATGTGTAACATGCCTCAATCAAAATGTCATACAGATAGGTATAGATTTACAAAGTAACAAAGTTGAAAATCTTTTAACTTTTCAATTGACTATACCCTATTTTAGTCAATTAAATACTTATGTATTTAGTTGACTTTTTTAAATATGTTTTTGAATTATACTAAATCCTGAATTTTTGTGCTAGAAAGTTTAGTCAAGCTTTTACCTAATTTTATTTTTATCATCATAACACATGACATCAGTATGGTATCATCATCATGACACTTATTTGGATGCAATATGAAATGGATTTTTTTTTTCATTTAAATTGTATTAAGTATATTTTAATTATAAATTTGATTGTGAGTTTTTTCTTTTTTAGAAAAGACAGTTAAAGTTAAAGCAAAGTCAAAATAAAAAGATGTTTGCAGCAGGGTTTAATACACAGAAGTTAAAAACCAGTTTAAGGCTGTCCATCAATAGATTAAAGCTTATGGAAAAGAAAAAAAGTAAGTTATTTTAACTTATTTTAAGATGTAAATAGAACAATATATGTAGTTATATACAACTATTATATGTAGTTAAAAATAAAATTTTCTCGTAAATGCGAAAACTCCTCTTTAAATAAGCAAGATTATATTATTATATTATAAATTTATCAATCTAGTTAGTTTTACTTTTATTGGTTATCTTATTATATTATAAATTTATCAATCTAGTTAGTTTTATTTTTATTGGTTAATTATTGTGTCATAATTTGTAAGACAGTAAAAAACCAGGAAAATTTTTAATTCTACTTGCTGAGTATTTTCATTTATACGTTTAGTTTTTAATGTTTAGGCTTCCATATAGTTTCATCTTCATTTTAGGGATTGTGAATAAGAAAAATTTGCATTTTTTTTTTCTTTTTTGTGTGTGAACAACAGTACCAATAAAAGTAAATAATGAAAAGAAATTTTTTTTTGATTTTTGAATTTCACTATATTTTCTTAATCTTAGAAAAGAAGAACTAAAAAAAGATGTAAAAAACATTTGTGATTGTTTAGACATTGAGAAGACCATTTTAATCATAAGTGTTTTTTTTATTGGAACTATTTTAAAAATGAGTTGTTGACCATATCTTTATGGTCAGCAACTCATTTTTTTACTTTGACCATATCTTTAAATGTTTGTAAATGAGGCAAGTTAAGGTATGTAAAACAAAAAGTTGACAAATTTAAATCAAGTATGACAATTTAGAAGGAACAGTTTTGAATTTTGAGACAAAAGATGTATTCTTAGAAAATTAAACAAACTGTAAGACTAACTGTAGAAAGAGTCTCTAGTTTAAAAAGCTTGAAAGTTAATAAATAGAAAAGGTATACTTTTTAACCACGAGGCTTAAAAAGAACAACATCATATACATTGTTAAACAGAAAGTTTTTAAAATTTATTAATCTGAAGAGTTCACAAGACAATATCCAATAAAAAATACTTTGTAAATAATCTAGAAGTACTATGAAGGATTTTTTTCTAAAATTAAATTTTTTTTTAGTCTGAACACAAAGATAGAATTAACAAGTTCCTTCAAGTAAGGTTGAAGTCGTTTATTGCAGTCAATGTTGCATGCTTCATCTATTTTTTAACTACTCTGATAAAGTAAATTTCAATTTTTGCCTAGAAAATGTGTTTGAGAGAAATGATTTTGACTTTGATGTCCAGATCACATATAATCATACTATTGAGTGTCAACTGACCAAGCTCCACTTGTCATAGTCCAAATCATTAAATTAATTGAAACTCTAAGCAAAACTTTGTATGACCATTACCATTTTATCAAAGAAGCACAATCCTATTTATCAGAGATAAAATAAACATTAGAACATCACACTTTTCTAATATTAATGGTTTCATAGAAAATTATATGTTTTCTTGTATAAGATGCTGTAGAATGGTTTTTAATGGCAGCCAATCAAGTAATCTTACATCTGTTTGTTGCTTATAACAAATATGTAAAATATCAACTCAAATGCAACTGATATTATATAATTTCTGACCTTCTTCATCATGGCTAAACAGCATTTGTTTTCTCTCAAAGTTACTTTCTAAATAATAATATATTACCTGAGTAATGATATATTACCTGAAATATAAATACTGAACATTGTTAACCATGGGTGTTTTATTTTTTTCTTCCGGTAAATCTGTTACATACCATCATTTTAACTGACCAATAGTTTCTTTGTTAATTCTATTAATTTCATTAGTTTTATTTAAAAAAATTGAAATTGTTTAAAATAAAATTAAGATGTATTAATTGGTATGTTTCCTCCCTAATAGGAAGAGGGGAGAGCACTAATTTAAGGGAGGAGGGGGCAACCAACTTACAAAGATATAGGCTTTTATTTTTTAACATGAAACACACATAATTTTTTTTCTATTGAATATACAGTTAAGACCATCAGATCTTATTGCATTTTTTTCATGCTTTTACTATAAGGTTTGAATTTTGATACTAACATTGACTATGTGTGCCAGATTTTCCAGCAAATATACAATGTTATTAAAATGTCTTAAAATGTTTAAAAATAAAATTTCAATGTCTTAAAAGGGCATTAACAAAAGTATATTAAATTACTAAAAGTTGGTTGCCCTTTATTCCTTGGGTGGGTGGAGGTAACTACTGACCAGACCAAATACAGACCACTGATCACCTATAATAAAGGGGCCGTACATAAACAACATCATGCAATATGTTGCAATTTTTGATCCTCTTCCTCCCCCTCGTCACAAGGCGTCACAAAAGTTTAGACAAGTTGATGACCCCCCCCCCTCCTATCCTCCTCTAGGATAGATGTTGCATTATTTCGAAAGGTAGCTAAATATAAAATATTTTTCAAAATTATTGTCATGTATGTATGTTTAATGGGAAAAAGACAATGGGCAGCAAAAATAAATGAAATTATAATTATATTTATTATTATTAAATTAACATCAATTATTAGTGATTTATAAAATTACATTTTAAAGCCATAAAGATAACATTTTCAAAATATTCAATTGTAGTTTATTATATTTAAATATAATAGTAATTAAAACTTTTTTATATTACTACTATCAAGTAACTATTACCTTGCAGCTATTCCGCATTCTAAATGAAATAATTGAAAAAAAAATGAACCTTAAAATGATTTTAATAATTAATACAAGTTTAAATATTTATAAAAAACTTAAATATTTATAGTAATTGAATTTTATTTGAACCAATTATAATAAATAATATATGAAACATTGCTGAAATTAAAAAATTAACAAAAACTATTTTTCCATACTAAATAGAAATGCTCTTTTATGGAATAAACTGGTAGGGCATCGAAACCAGTATACCCAGGCTTGGTCGGGAAGCGGGAGCGATCGCTCTCGATTGCTGACCACGTAAATAATATTTAGTTGCGAAAAACTGGCCAGATTTTTTAGTAGTTTTGAGAACATTTTAAAATTATTTATTAGATTAATTGGACCGATGAGAGACAATTACAAAAAAAAAAAAGTAAGCAAATAAAATATCTTTAAACGCGAAAAAACTTTAAGCTAAATAAATTACATTTAAACAAATATTTACGAAATATCGCTTTTTTATAATTTTTTTTATAAAATTAAGCGATGTTTTTTATATAAAGTAACAAATTACGATTGTTTAAAAGGGAAACAAATATTCTTTATTTAACTTTTTCCAAGTTTTTGTTTTTCTTAAGCTTAATTTATTTTATAAATAAAAAAGTTAATTTTTTTAATACCTATTTTATGTTTCGCGTAGTTTGAAAAGTTTAACATATTTGAAGCGATTCTTCTTAGTAAGATAAACAAATGAAATAATTAAATCATTGAATTACTATAGGAATTAAATTATCAAGATAGAAATCAACTAAAAAGGTTAAAAATACGTAATGTCCAGGAAGCGAAACTGCTTTACAATATCGCTGATGATGTTTAGTGAGTGGGTTTTTAATTTTAAATAGTATTTAAAGCAGAAAAAAGTATAACGAGTTTTAAGAATGGCAACTTAAGCGAAAATAATTAGAGTTAGTAAACCAATATCTAGAAACTTTTCTTTATATCTAACTATTTGCTATTATATATTTGTGTTCTGTCGTGACTTCAGAAGCGATGCTTGTTCATCCGCGAGTTACTTTGTATGCGTTGTTTGTGTTAAGTAACCAGAAACTTCTTATATGTTAGTTACATAATTAGTTTTATTAACTTAAACGATTATAACTTCATTGAAAACGCAATTATTTTTGTAAGTCTTTGTTCATAATCATAAAAATTGCTTTAAAAGATACATTACGATAAAAAACAAATACACAAAATTACGTTTACATAAAGAATACAATCTCTTTTAAAATAAAAAATAAGAATACACTAATAAAATCTATGATTTATAATAAACTTTTAAAATTTTAACAATTTAATTAATATATATTTAAAACATTTATTTCGCTTCCCGACCAAGCCAGTATACCTGGGAATAAAATTGATATGGCAAGTCATATGGAATAAAACAATACGGATTTGAAAAGCGAGAAAGAATGTCGTCAACTTTTACATTTTGTGCTGCAAACAGAGATGGAAATTGACAACATGCTGGGTCCATTGTTCTCTCTGGAATTTGAAGACCTTCTATCACACTGAAATGGGAACTTCTTGGTTTCAAACAGCACTTATTGTCATTTCGTTTTACAGTCTGCGTAAGAGATTGGCTTGTTCATATGTGACATTTCTGATCCCTTGACAAGAGGATTTGTTTTTGTAACTCAGACTCTGTGTGCTTAATGTACTCTGCCTCTAATGGAAAATTATCTATAATCAAATCTGATCAAATTTCAGCAAGAGTGGTACCTGCATTGAAATGCAGGGACCACTCATGCGTTTAGTTTGTTTTTAATATAAGAAAATATTTTGTCATATAAAATCATTTACAGTTTTTAATATAAGAAAATATTTTAATATATATAAAATATTTTTTGTGTTGTCGCATTTCTTCAACCCCCTCCCTCCCCCTTGTCACAGATCGTCACAAAAGTCTGGACCTCCTCCCTCCCCTAAATGCGTGACGTTGTTTATAAACAGCCCCAAAATAGAATTTGAAGAAATAATGCTTTCAACTTAAAATTAATTTAAATGTTTAGATATAAAGTAACTAAATATCTAAATTAATTGAGAGATCTTCATTTGAACTATTATGAAGGTCTCTAAAATTTTACTGCCCCTTTATTTGTGTCTCTATCTACTATAAAGACCAGATCAAGGAGAGAGCAACTAACCATATCTTTCTTTTTATAAAGAAATGACGTATAATTAGTTGCACCCCTAACTAGGCCAGTAGCCAGATTAGGGGGGGCACTGGTATTTATTAACACATTCAACCTTTGATAATTGAAAAATAGAGTTATTTAAAAATGCAGGCATTTTTGGTGTGAATTTGACAAGTTTATGTTTGCATTTTCAGATAGTTGTGTCTAATGGTTTTATAT